ATGTGAAATTGAATGACTGCATTTATTCCATCGATCAAGTTTCAATTTCAAAATAAAGTTTCTCGAACTTTGTGACATATCCAAGCTATCGGATTTCACATATGATGGTTGTAACTAATTGTGACTTTCTTGTATGAAAGGTAAATGGTCTCATTGTAACAATACTTAAATATATACATGTATTATTTAACTATTATAACTACGGGTTTTGTTAGGCTACACTTGTGATATATACTTTTAAAGTCATCATATTTATTTATATATTAAATAAATATTATTAACATGTTATATATTAAATATTATTTATATAATAACACTATTTGGGTCAGGTCCACATGGACCCGGACCTAAATAGTGTTCGGATCCAATTATTGGACCCAAACCCGACCCGCCTGGTTCAGTTCTTAGAACCATACCTAAACTTGGGTTAGGTCCAGACATCGGATCCGGATCCATTGCCACCCCATGGACATGAAATAAAAATATTTTGGGCCTATGGGTCTTAACCCTTAACATGCATGAATCTTAGCCAAAATTGGACCCGGCAAAAGAGCCAGCTCAGGCCGATTAACCACCTGAAGTAGAAGCACACACGAATCGCATGGGTTACGGGAGAGAGAAAGTGAGAGCTTCTTCGGTTCTTGCCATTAACTGAGCACGTTGAGAACGTGTATTTGCACCATTCAAATGTCCACATAATTTTTGTTTTTTATTTATTATTGGAAAAGCTTTCATCGATTGATTGTACTTGGTACTGACTATCAACATTAATAGTAAATCCTTGATCTTATTGCGATAAGAAGAACAAAAAATAAATTTATTATTTATTTTTAATACAAGGATGTCACAATCATTTTTGTTTGTCACATTTTGAATCGGGTGCATTCAAAGTCGATTATATTTTCAAACTTCATTACAAACGATCCAATTTGACAACTAATAGCTATGAGTGATTGTGAGTTCTTTATATCAATGGTAAATGGTCTCATAATATACAAACTCTAAAAACTAATTTTCACTCGGACTTGTACATACAAGAAATAACAAATGGAATTATAGACTAATTACTTTCTTCTTCATTTTTTTTTTACTACGCCACTTCCTTTCTCTCTCTAAACTCTATTATTAAAATGAAAAAGTTTATATAGAGCCGAGGCTCTAATCAATCAAATTAGAGCCCACCTCAAAAAATTCAATAGAAGATGTCGTTTTGATGCCCAAATGTCCTCAAATTGATCATCTCGGCATCAAGATGCGTCGACACATGAAAAAAATGGATTTCAAAATTTGAAAATAGTGCAGCTTGTAATGCATTTTTTGACCGTCAATTTTTAAAAATTTCAAGTTTTCATATATATACTCAATCTACTCAAGTTTTCATATATATGCTTAATCTACACTGTTTTTGAAGCTTTAAATTTTACAATTAAAGGTGAAAATATATTTTAAGGCTATCACAAATATTTCCATTATTAAAGCCACATTTCTCGATACTATTTGAAGGTGCGCTTTACGTTGATTGTTTATAGCCTCTGCTCTATACAAACCACACCCTTATTAAAATCTCTTTAGTTAGGAACATTCTTTTTTGGAAAGGAATTCTAAAATATTATTAAGTCAAAACCAGATTATAGAGTCCGAGACAACAATCTCGGATAAGAAGGAACCCCCTTTGGAAAGGTAATCAGTCAACACATTGGCTTCCCGATAAACATACATGAAAATAAAGATAAAAAGCCTTGAAATATCCAAAATCTGTAGTACGACAAACCTCAACTCCCAAGGTAAAAGGCCTTGAAATATCCAAAATTTGTAGTAAGACAAACCTCAACTCCCAAGGTGCCTTCTGCATCCCATTACACCAGTTAATAACATTCAAAGAGTCACCTTCAATAATACAATAAGAATCCAGATTCCTTGCCACCAAAAATCACAAGCCATATAACAGTCCATAGATTTCGGCATAATTTGTCGTCCTTATCCCTAGAGGTCCTATATACGTTAAAATAACATATTCGTTCCAATTTCTAACCACTCCTCCAAAACCTACTAGACCAAGGTTCCCTAACGAATTCCCATCAAAATTAAGCTTTAAAACCCCTAAAGCTGGAGCCACCCACCTGCCTTTAGGTCTACATTTGATGAAACTCAAATGGAAAAGATTCGGCAAATTCCTCCTAACAGCAACTTCCGAGATATGTTCCACAACTTTCGTAACCCACATATATAGCCAAATTGCGTGCAAAATTTTTTCCAATATTTTCTCAAAAGGCATGCTACTCCCATCAAACACTCTCTTATTTCTCTCTTTTCACACTTCCCATAAAATCACACCTCTCGAAATCTGCCAAAGAATCATACCTGTGATTCTTTGGTCAAGTATCAGATTTGAGAAAATTCCTTAACTGATGAGGGCAAGTGTCAGATTTGAGAAAATTCCCTGAACTTTTGAGGGCACTACCATCGCAGTCCCAAGCTGAGTAAAAAACCAGCTCCAAATGCGATAAGTAAAAGGGCAATATAGAAAGAGATCGTCACCAATTTCCCTATCCTCTTTACACAAAGACATACATTTAGCAAAATCCTCCATCTTTTGATCAAATTATCTATCGTCAACACCTTGTTTTGTACATCCATCCATATGAAACCTTAAATTTTAAGAGGGAGCGGCCATTTCCAAATAATGGCAGCTTGAGGCGTAGACTACCTCCATCTATCATGAAAGAGCAGTTGGTACATCGATTTAATTGAATACTCTCTATCTTTATCCATATCCCAAACAACTTCATCAACAACATTATGAAATATATAAATACCTTCCAATAATTTCAATAAATCAGAGAGCTCAGATAAAAGAGAGTCAGGGATTCTATTATAAGGGAGGATGATATTCCAAATAATTTGTTCACCCCTGCGCTCATAATAATCAGAGACTACGACATGAGGGTTATCCATTATTTGGAAAACCAATCGAAAAATATATTTCAACCGTGAGTCACCTACTTATTTGTGGTGCCAAAAGGAGATCATGCTTCCATTACCTAAGCACCATCGAATATCTCTGTTAATAAGATTTTTACAAGAATTGATAGACCTCCAACAATAAGACATCCCCCTAACACCATGCCTAGCACCATATTGCAATCGGGAGGCGACCATCCAAGATTGGGAACATTTATCCATCCCTAGTTAAAGATTTTTTCTATTTATCATAACCATCATTCCTTAAAAATATCTTTTATGCATTATGTAGATATTAATATAAAGGAAATGGATGAGGCCTTTATCTTTGGTAGAAGGTGGTCACAATTAATATTGACAATTGGATGTGAAATTGAGTGTCTGCATTTATTTCATCGATCAAGCTTGAAGTTAAAAAAAAAAAAATTTCTCCAATATTGTGGCACCTAAGCTCTCAAATTTCATATCGAATGGCTATAAGTAATTATGACTTCATTATACCAAAAGTAAATGGTCTCATTATATACAATCCCTAATATAAACTAGAAGCCAACAAAACAACTCAAAAACAAAAATAAAGATATGATATTAGAATATATATGTATTAGCATTTCGTTAAAACTTCTTGAATATCTCGAGGAAATTAGGAATATATCTCTCTCCTCCAAGTCCATGTTCGCTAGAGATTTGAATGTGACCTACGTCCTCTCTTAAGATATTTCTCTTTAATAGTCGCCTGCCCCACATTCTCTCTTGTAATTGAGTCTCAACTTATTGTTGCCCTTTGACTGCAACTTAATAATGTAGTATTTAGGATAATGAATTAAACTGTGAAATAAAAATAAAAATGTTTATTTTAATAAAAAATTCAAAAGGGCAGTACATGTGGACACTTGAATGGTGCTAAATGTGCTATCGACGTTTCGGATTAGGATGAACGAAAATTGATAGTCATGTTTAGAATCATTACATATAGCACTTTAATTTTATGTTTTTACAAATTAAATTAACTTGAAAATTTGTGCATACACACTTCTCGATCAAAAACCACCTAAAAATATATGAAAATTTTTGAAAGATAAATTCACCAATAAACCCATTAAAATATTATGGGTACTTTGATCGATTTAAATTTTATAAAATGTTTTCTTTTAGATTTTTTTAAGGGACACGGTTTCTATGTTGCCAGTCTGCATATTGTAAAAATACGGGCTTGGCAATAAATATATTTTTAAATATAATTTGATTCTAATTTATAAAGGATATATTATATTTAACATGGAGATCATGAATATACAAAAAATAAATAAATTGAGAAATATAAATAATAATTATATTAAAAAAACATTTGGACTTTTAGTTATACTTTCTTTTAGATGGACCACCTATTTGCATCCATCTTAAAGATGGATGCTTTATACTTTGGACCGCATATTGTAGAAATGCGGTTCAGCCTGCATGAAACAATTTTCCTTTTTTAATTGCATCTAGATGTAATAAGCTTGTAAATTTCATGTAATTCTCTATGTATAAAAATTAAGCAAATTGTAAAATATAATTAGGGAAAAGTTTATATAAGGTTGCAACCTTAAAATGTAGAATCACAGATGCACCTCAAAAATCTATCGGAAATGTTGTTTTAATGTTT